TGATTCCGTGACATTGATTCCGTTCTTCATGTTCTGCGACCATTGTCACTATCTGTTCTCAAATCATTTCAATTCCATTAACATAACCTCAATGCCCCCTAAGCAAAAACTCTCGTCTTTCCCCTCCCTCCCACTCCTGGACTCCACTGATCTTCTGTTTTCAATGTATTCACTTATTTCATGTAAGTTAACACAGCCAGTCTTTATCCTTCTGTGATGGACTTTGCTTGCTCCACTTAATGTTTTCTAGGGTCATTTATGTTGTGTCAGGCACCACTAACAGAACTCTTTTCTTGGATTCTTTGGATCCTTTGTTAACAGGGACTATTGCGTAATCACACACATACACACACACAAACATACACACAAGGGGGCTTCAAAAAGTTCATGGAAGAATGTATTTAAAAGAGCATGGAATTTTTCCATGAACTTTTTGAAGCTCTTTTCTATTTGTTAGGTTTTGTTTCTTATCCTGATAATGCCTTGAATGCTATTAAGGACATAATTCTGACTCTATATATCAGTATTGTTTTATTCTGGCACAGGACTTTTCAGTCAAGTATCTAGTCAAATGTGGATCCATGTAGAACTGTTACATCCTAAATTGCCCTCAGATGGATGGATTCATTTGGTCAGCAAACATGACAGGCTGCGCATTCTTCTTTCACTATCAAAAGCATCCAGTCACAGACTTGAGCGTAGACACCCTGGTGCCAGAGGCGATGGAGAAGGCCCAGCCTCACATGCTGCCCTCAAACTGAAAATTTGAGATTTCTAAGCAACAAGGAAGCTGAGTGCACATGTTCTGGAACCCAAATGCTGCCTGGGTTCAAATCTTAACTGTGGCTTTTACTGGACGGTCTTGTGGGTGTCCCGCAATCTCTTTGGGTGTCTGCATTGTCACTTGTAAAATGATAAGACAGCACATACCTTATATGATTATTCTGAGGCATAAATGAGTTAATGTGTGTAAAGTCCTTTGAACAGTGCCTTGTACATAGTATGTACTGTATAAATGTCAGCTACCAGTAGACAACCAATCCTGACATGGAGCAGAATGTGTTTCTCATGAAACATCAAGTCCCTCATGACCGTGAAACCAGGCAAGCTTAGATAAGAATTTTCTCTCGGAGACCATGAAACTGTTCTTAGTGTTAGAGTTTCAAAAAAGCAAGAGAGGAGCTCTTAGTTTTCCAAGCTCATAGTTTTCCATTTTCCTTGTGTCACTTTGAGAAGTAACTAATCTCTACGATAGGTTTGGAAAATGTGACTTTTGTCAAAGACAATCATTCCCTACCCCCTACTCCAGCCCCAAGGATTCTGGAAGCCACCAATGACATCTAATCAAAAAGAAACCATCTCAAGCATTCTTCAAGAGCTGGGTTCCAAAGTAACAGTGAGACTGATCATTTTCCATGGCATGGTGTGCCATACAGGATTCTTTTGTCAGTTGCTGCGAGGCATGTTCTGCCGTGTCATCTTAGGTTTTCTGGAGGAAATCTACTTCAGTGAATACGCTTTTGGGGGACTCCAGGAGAAAGAATTGATTTAGTGGGCTACAAGGGAGTCCAGTTTGAAGGAACTTGAGTTTCTGTGTTATATTTGGTTAGTGGTGAAAGGTTCACCCCTGGGATGGTAGAGAGACCATTGTGAGATCATGTGAGGGAGCACCCATCAGTGCCTTGTATATCACAGTGTGACCACAAGAGCCACCACAGGATCTGGGAGATGTTGAACTTTCTCCAGAAACTTCAGGAGAGAATTTGAATTGAAACACTGTATCGCCGTTTGGTGTGGTCTTCCCAGTGATGGCGGCCAACCTACATTGCTTCTCACTAACATGTCCTGGAATATTCCAAAGGAGAAGTAGCTATTTTGTTTAGCCACTGGGATAGTCCAGATTCAGAAGGTAGAGGCTCGGCTCTAGCACTCCGAAGCTGCCATGTTGAGCTTGGTCAGACAGATGTGGGTTGATCCTGGGAAATGGTTAACAAATCCTCGTGGAACAGAGAGAAGGAGACATCACAGGGATCCCTATTTCTTTAGAGTTCATGACTAGACCCAAACGCTATTCTTTATGACAGGACCCCATCTCACACAAGGGATTTGCTTGCTCAGTTTTGACGTCCCTTCATGTGAAATATTTGGCATGGTACTCTGATTAGTACTTGTGTGACGAAAGACAGATTTTCCCCAAGTTTGATTATTTCATATGTCCTTTCTTGTCTCAGTTTTCTTATAACTTCCCTATCTCTTATTCAGTCCTGCTCTTATTCCGAGCATGTATAGCTAAGTTCCTTATGATCATGTACAGAGCATGAGCCAGAACTTAGCCAAAGAATGAAACGGAAAAGCTCCGCCAAACCAAGTTTCATAATCTTCCCTTAATAAAATCTACTGTGTCATTTGGATTTTAAAACATGAGCCCTCTATCAGCCTGTTGTAGGAGAGAGTGTTTTGTACCGAGGTCTGGCAGTTGAAGTAAGACTCCAGTGGCCTGGTTCTTAGTCCTAAAAAACAAAAGGAAATAGGAAAAGACATCTTTGGGTGGGAGTAGGGAGAGAGTTTCTGAAATGTAAGTACCTTGAGTTTAAAATGTTTGCTCATTTCATAAATGGCTCCAACACATTGGGATTTCTTTGCATTCTGAAGAACAGGTCCCATATCCTTACATAAAAATTCTTATTTTCCCTGCTATGTAGCCACAGACATATCCTGGGTTAATGCAAGGCACATAGTAGGTTCTCAGAGGCTTTTAGTTGAAATTAACTGATTACAAATGTCTCTTTTTGTTTAAACATTGTCTAGTCTAAGCATAATATTCAACAAATGCTAACTGCCACTCTGTTACTGTTTTTTTTTTTTTTTCTGAGTTATTTGCATCACTCTGAACTGCTCAAAAACCCAGTGAATTAGCAGTCTCACTAATTCACAGAACTCAACTAAAAATAAAGAAGCTAGCAATCGGTTTCATATTTTCTGCTTAAAAAGACAGGGAAACGTTTTGTCACAGATGTTTGATAAAGGGACCAGATGTAGCCGGGCGACTACTAGCACCTCTCTTAACCTGTTGGACTTCACCTTACCTATATCGGAGATGCGAGCCCTGATCCCAAAATCATCCTCCAGAGCAGGTGAAATGCATTGTTGGACCGACCTACATTCCAGCATCTGTGCCCTGTGGTTGTGTTGGTCCCGGAAGTTGATGTGGACAGCCCTGTAGTCATGCTCTTTAAAGTACTTTGCAAAGACTTCTGTATTTCTACAGTTCTCAGGCCATTTCCCCTCTCCAGGCCTGTTTGCTCATCTGTAAAATGAGGAAATTGGACAAGTATCAAAGTTGTAACAATATGTGAATTTAAGGGCATGAACTTTGAGCTCTCCAGAAACGCCATTCCTCCAGGTTGTTGGTCAACCAAGATTTTACTGTACATTAATCCCTAGATCAAAGGATGAATTTTGTGCCTAGGAAAACATTTGGAAGCGATTAAAGTTGTGGGTGAGTCCTAATTCTTCATAGGGCATGTTTATTTCAGCGTAGCATCCTTGAGTGAGAGTTGTACTTGGAATATGAGGCGTGGTGTGTGTACTTCATTCACATAGGATTTTAGCAGTGTTGTGCTCCTGAGAATTGTTGTTAAGTGCCATTGAGTTGATTCCAACTCACAACAACCCTATATAGGACTTCCAAGGAGTGGCTGCTGGTGGTTTTCAACTGCTAACCTTGCAATTAGCAGTCCTCTGCTTATCCTACAGCACCGTACCAGGACTCTTCCCATCTAATGGAGCCCTCTGAAATCCAGCCTTCTTTCCCATAATTTGTTAACCCCATTCTAAGACGTGCCGTGCCCAGTACACTATCTTCTGGCTTTTGTTTTACTTCATTCTCCCACCACTGGAATGCAACTCCTTCAACATTTAACTGAAGTCCCACCTCTTCCACCAATTGTTCCCTGAGTATGCCAGGCTTCACTGCCCACAAGCCTTGGAAGGCCTTCCTGAACCCCCACATCTAAAACGATTCCTATTCTACCTGGTAGAATACATTACTTTCTACAATGGTCTTGGCACAGGATGGGAGTACACACTGAGACCTTTCTTTACGCCTTGAGTGTGTTTGAAGGAGGTAGGGGAGTTAAGGTCCAAAGGGTAGTGCATGTATTTGAGAAGATGTGCTTGTGTTTCAGTCTTGCAACGACAGAAATGATCATGCATAAGACCAAGGCACTCTTGGCCTGATGAGCACAAGCAGGTAGCACAATGGGCTTAGCCTTGATGTTGTTATTGTTGTGTGCCGAGGAGTTAGTTCCAACCCATAGAGACCCTGCATAGGGTTTCCGAGGCTGTAAATCTTTACGGGAGCAGAAAGCCTCATCTTTTCTCCCATGGAACAGCTGGTAGTTTCAAACTGCTAACCCTTAGCATAGCAGCCCAATTCGTAACCACTACGCTACAAGAGCTCCTTCTAGAACCCCCGAAATACTGAACAATGAGGCAGGTAGGAGAGAGTGGGGAGGGTGGGAGCTTCCAGGGTGAGAGATACATACAACTTGGCTGTTGAAGTGATTGCATTGTCCTCCTGCCTCAGCACACAGCTTCCCTTCATTCACATCTGGACCCACGTTCAATTCCCAGCCAATGCACCTCAAGTGCAGGCACCTTGTTGCTATTGTGCTGAACAGATCTCAGCAGAGTTTCCAGACTAAGATCAAGAAGAAATACCTAGTGATCTACTTCTGAAAAGCAACCTGTGAAAACCCCATGGATCCCAACAGCGTGATCTGCAGGCAGTTATGGGGAGGGCACAGGACCAGGCAGTGTTCCGTTGCATTGTACGTGGGACTTCATGAGATGGAGGCCGACCGACATCCTGGACCACTCGCTAAGGATGCTCAAGAACAGTACATTAGTTTGTTGAATTCATGGCCAAGACAGACTTACAATTTCTGCGTCCAACTTAACCTCTGCCTCTTCCCTCTCTCTTTTTTCTCACACATCAGGTGAATCCCACAGCACAGTGTACCCATGCCCTGCTCAAGATGACCTACTGTTCCCACTGCCGGGGTCTGGTGTCTGTAAAGCCCTGCTACAACTACTGCTCAAACATCATGAGAGGTTGTTTGGCCAACCAAGGAGATCTCGATTCTGAGTGGAATAATTTCATAGGTGAGTAAGTGACGGATTGATGTGTTTGTCGCTGGAGATAACTACTTGCAGGCTGCCAGGAGTGTTATTACTAGCTGTAAAATTCCTGTTTGTCCTTTCACATCTGCTGGTGTCTTAACTGTGCTCAAAATTCATACCATTCGACATGTAAAACGTTCCCTTGAACTATCAGTGGCATTTTCTGAAAATATTAGACCCAGCGACTACCAAGTTTGAATAAGGAGAAAGTGCTTTTTTGATATTTCTCCCTACAGGCCCCTTTTTGCTAGGCATCATAGGCCTATATCCATGTAAATGCTGGAGCATGACCATCCCTGGAGACAAAGTGGTTTTCAAATGCTTTAGCCAATTTGTTGCAAGCATACTCTACCGCAAACTGGCCAGTTGCCCGCTTGGTATTTAGATCAGGTAAAAATCTGATGGCAGAAATTAGGGCTTTTGTTTCTACTGAGTAATCCCACAAACCACCGTGCAAATATAAGGGCTTTTGGCCTGATCAATGTAAAGGTAAAGCATTCTCACATAGACCATCCACCTAGTAAACCATGGCCCGAATGGAACCCAGAGTCAATATCAGTGCACCAGCCAGTCTACTCCAGGGTTAATTATAATTTGGGAACAAGATTATTAATTTCCTTGCCCTTTCACCAACATGATGCTTACTTCGCACCTGTCTTCATCCTGGAACTTCGAGGCCCCATGGGCCACCACATACGTCCTACCAGTTTACAAAATCAATTCCCTTTTCCCCCCAGCCCCATTTGCATAAATGCAGAATTCAAGTGTCTTTCTAACCACCTATTTGTGCACATCATGGGAACATGCAGGAAATTTGCCGGCTTGTTCCTTTAGGGAAGGGGGAGAGGTGTGGGTTGGACAAGGCTTTTTAGTCTGCATGAGAGCTAATTACCATATTAACTCTGTATGGAAGTGCATCAATAAATTGGCTCCAACAGATTCCTGAGAAAGGGAGGGGGGACGGGGAGAATGTGAATATTAAAGACTTCAGCACAATTGTGGCTTAAATAGCTCAAAGCCAGAGGACCTGGGGGAGTGCAGGGGGGAGATGAGGCCTCTACCTACCAGAAAAGCAGATTCGCATAAAAGAGAAGGCATAACATCAGCCAAGCCACACACGTACAAATGGCGCATCCTGCCCAGAACGTGTGTGGGAGTGATGTTTAGGAAGCCGTGATTTCATAAATATTTGTGACAGAGTAGAATTCTGCAGAGAGTACAAGAAGCTAGGAGAGGAATCTGGTCGTGCTGACTTTCGTACAAACACACCAGGAAGAACACACAGAGGGGCTTGCCTCCCAAATTTACTATTCTGTTATTCTAACATGTCCAGCAGAAATAATACCATGAAGCACAAACCCATCTATATACTTTTTCAAGAGTTTACAGTACCCCCATCAAATCAACAGCATACTCTGGCTTGCTGAATTAATGCCCTCAACCAGCTTGCGTATTTTTCAAATTACAATTTGCTGTCTTTAAAGAGAAACAATTCATCCCAATTGGAAAGTGATGGAATTTCAGAATTGATTTTTCCCAGTTACCATAAATGATATTCTTTGGGGGAAGGAAAAGGTGAATAATTTTATCCAAACCTTATTTTTTAACATCTGGGGTCTAATAATCTTCTCTATTTCTAATCAGCTGATAACATACATTGTTAATCTCCAGTGCATTTTCATGAATTTTTGACAAGGGTTTAATTACTCTGCTCCGAGGCTGTAGAATGCCTTCCCCCTGACCCCCGGCCCACAGTGACCTTACTCCCCCCTTTGCAAGGAATTTTTCTTTCCCCTTTAAATGACTACAATTAATGGATGGTGAAGAGCTCCCCCTCTTTCTTGAAATCAGATCTTGGGGTTCTGTCAGCAAGTTGCCTTTTGTTCTTGCGGTCAGGTAGTGAGAAGGGGCAGGCTTTGTTGCTGGAGGGGGGAAGGGAACGTCTCATTGCCATTGATTTAGACCCTTTTGGAAACTAAGGTCTGGGTTTGCCCAGCCTGCCTCCTTGCTTCCATTCCCTCCCTGTGTCACCGTGAAGTGTCCGTCACCCTTTAGTGAATGTGGAAGTCAGCTCAGCTTCTATTAAAATGGATTCAAAGGGTAGAAACCACTTGTGTTCTATGTTCTAAAATAATGCTTATATGAAACCAACAACATTTGAAAAATATACCACATACCCTCACCCACCTCCCTGCAAGCGTCCATTTCTGGAAAATCCTACATGAACAATTCGCTTAGGTGCAGCTTGTTCTCCATCGCATACTGTAGCTGTGTTAACATGAGTTTGACTCAGAGCCAGCCTTCTTAATGTCAAATGTTGCTGCCAGCGGGACTCGAGTATGGGGATTGCTGGCAGCGACACCAGCCAGTTCCTGGCAGGAGGCAGGAGCCAGTCGGATCGTCCATGGATAAAAAGACCTGTGGCCTAGATCTGCTGAAGGAAAAAAATTCCAGAAACTATCTTTGGATTTCTCTTTTTGCTTCTTATCAGGGTTGGTGTTGCCAAGGAAGAACTCGATTGATAACTAGTCAGGACTTTTCCTCCAGTGGCCTTGGGGGGTGGGGGGGGGAGGGGGCTGCAGGCAGAAGGCATCCTCCCTCACATTCCTAAGCCTCGCAACACGCAACGCCATGGCACCGACCCCAACAAAGGCCCGGCTTCACTCTCCATTCCCAGGCCCTTGTGTATGGCCGGCTAGCTCCAAGTTTACAAAGCCGCCAAAGAGCCAGAAGAATCAAGGGTTTATGTTTCCTTTCATTAGTGAGCTGGCCTTTCTTCGCCGCGAGGGAAAAAAAGTAGTTACGAAATGCACTGTGTGTTTTGTTTTGTTTTTTCTCCCTCATTTAAACCTCTACGTTATGGATGGTTATTATCTATCTATTCATAATATTTTTATTTGGAGCCAGCGACTTCTCAGCTCTGATGGAATGTGCTTTCTGTATGTGGCTGCACTGTAGCTTTGACAGTGATGAACATATTTAAGTTGAGCTCCACTTGTTTACAAAAGTCTCCATTTGCTAGTACATCAAAAGCATTCTCCCGTCCCCCTCCAGTACAATGGTATATTCATGCTGGCAGCCTTTTTGCTTCAGAGGTTTGAAGTGTCACTTTATTGGTGTTTACCACAATGCAATCTGAAACTTCATTTGTTATTACTTTCAAAAAATTGCATTTCATGGAAATCTATTTGTGGTTTGTGACATTGGAATTGTAGCATAGAGAAATGACCCCGAGCTTTGAGAGGGTATATTGCATTTGGGCTAGGTTGAAGGTGAAAGAAAGGTGGATCAAATTTGGTTTCATTGAAATGCTGATGGACAGGCTTACCTATGCCACTAGAAGCTTCTAGAAATTCATTTGGGGGTTGCAGTCTATGCCTGTGGGTTTTTTGAGAAAGACACACAGCATCATCTTGTAGGAACTAGCCCTTCTTTCTAGAGCTCTCTTGGTCGACCTGAAAGGTAGACAGTTCATGTTCATGTTTCCATGAACTGTCTGAAGCCCCCTGGTATTAAGCATAATCTAAGAAACCAAGGAAATCATATTTGGTGAAGACACGCACACTTTCTGTGTACTGTGTTTTTGGTCATCTTTTTCTGCTCATGAAATGAAGGTGGGGTAAAATGTGTGTTTTTCCTTGAAATAAATTGAGGCCTTCAATATGTGAAATGGGAAGTTTCTCTTAATACAAAAATTACATCTTTCAAGCTTTCATTGTTTGAAAAGTCATTAAGAGTTCCTAAGAAGTCTTTCATTTGTGTTTTCCCACTGTGCACGCAAGGATCTGAAAGGGTTCCATTAAAAAATGAAAGAAAAACAGGGTATGCCAGGATTTATACTGATTAATGTTGCTGACGCTTGTAAATGGAACCTGAAACAAAAAATCCTAGGAAGTCTCTGGGGACAATTGACACTCTGTCTCCAGCCTTAGGTTTGCCAGAATCTTCTAGTAATAGCCGCGGACAATGCACAGGAATAAGTCATCAGTAGCATGGAAGATCCTGATTGGGTTTCCCTGCTGTAGAGCAAAGCACTCATCTGGCCATGTCACGTTTCAGAGAGGGCTCTATGGGATAAGCCCTGGACTGCTAACAGCAAGGTTGGCAATTGAAACCCACTAGTCACTCTTCAGAAACCCTCTACTGGGTTGCTGTAGCTCGGAATCCATTCAATCGCAACAACAAGATGGTGACTACATACTGTGTAGTATGATGGAAGTAGATAGAAACCCATGAATTCATTAGGATACCTGTCCCCCACTCCCACTCGCCTCTAATCCCTCACAGGAAGCAAAGCCAATAAAATCATCAGACGGATTACCCAAGGCCAAGCTCATGATTGACTTTTTTCTGCCATATTTTTCTTCAAACCTCCTGTTAGATGCTATGTTGATGGTCGCAGAAAGACTCGAGGGCCCTTTCAACATCGAATCGGTCATGGATCCCATCGATGTGAAGATTTCAGATGCCATCATGAACATGCAGGAGAATAGCGTACAAGTGTCTCAGAAGGTAATGAAGGTGGGAGGCTGGATGAGTGAGCCGGAGGCCCCATCTGGCTTGTGCTGGGATTTCCCTAATATGACCATCCTTACTCCAATGCAGGTTTTCCAGGGCTGTGGACCCCCCAAGCACCTCCCTGCAGGCCGGATTTCTCGCTCCATATCAGAAGGTGCCTTTAGTGCTCGCTTCCGACCGTATCATCCCGAGGAACGGCCGACCACAGCAGCTGGCACAAGTTTGGACAGACTGGTGAGCCCTTTGGCAGGAAGCCCGCTTTACTGAAAGAGAACCAAAAACATTGGCGTGCAATGAATTCTTAGTTGGCAGGCTTAAAGTTTGGGTATTTGCAGTGAAACTTTTTGAGCCAAAGATTTGCGTGTATCAGTAGATCAGGAAGTCCTTACAGGGTCAAGGAAAGGGGATGTATGAAGTCTTACCTCAAAACTTCCTTTTGATTTCCACACGTTTTTAAATGAGCATCTACTGTGTACCCATCGCCATGCTTTGGAGGGTCTGATGAATAAGACAGATCCTTACTCTCTATAGGCCCTAACAAAGAGGGAGAAGCAGATACCCTCAGTGTACTAACCTAATAAACACTAGGCTGGGAGAAAGGTGGGAAGATATATGTACATTGCTTTAGACATTGTTTGTTGTTGTTGTTAAGTGCCGTCAAGTCAATCCCGACCCATAGCGACCCTTTACAGGGTTTTCAAGGAGTGGCTGGTGAGCTTGAACCACTGACCTAGTTCAAACAGCTTTGCAATCTGGTGCCTTAACCCACAGCACCACACTAGGACTCCTTAGACATTGTACCAGACTGCAAATCTGTTAAGACATTTTAATACAGTGCTAGGTGGAACCAGAAACAGCCCGGATGACTGCTAACCAAAATGTTGATGGTTCAAAGCCATCCACTGACTCCAAGGAAGGAAGACTAGAGATCGGCGTCTATAAAGATAATAGGCAAGAAACCTCAATGAGGCAGTTTTACTCTTACGCAGGGCATCACGAGGAGCCTGGGCCCAACTTGGTAGCAAATGACAAGAGGGAACTGGAAGAGGCAAAAGTGGATGAGGAAAGAATAGAGTTGTGTTTGTTGATGTTGTATGCCATCAAGTCAATTCCAGCTCATAGCAACCCCATGTGACAGAGTAGAACTGCTCCATAGGGTTTCCTACGTAGAAATCTTGATGATCATTGGTTGTACAGGGCACAGAACATGGGTGCCCTCTGCACCTTAGTTATAATGAGGTACCTGGGACACTGGGCCCAGGCAACAAGTCTTTGACAGAACTTGTGTTTCAAGCATTGATTCATTTGCATGATTTTGTACTTCTTAGATGACTTGTTGCATATTGTTGTTAGTGCCATGGAGTCAGTGCAGACTGATAGCAATCCTAGATAGGGTTTTCTTAGAGCAGCTGGTGGGTTCGAGCCACTGAACTTGTAGTTAGCAGTCTAGTGCGTATCCTACAGTGCCACACCACAACTCCTGTTGCTTATTATACTGGAGACATTTCAGAAACTGGCAAAAGGCCCATCTGTAGGTAGTTTTGTGTTGTTTTTATATCAAGGTGGTTTTTTTTTTTTCTCTCTCTCTCTCTCTGTCATAACTTAGGTTACCGATGTCAAGGAAAAACTGAAACAAGCCAAAAAGTTCTGGTCCTCTCTTCCCAGCAATGTTTGCAATGACGAGAGGATGGCTGCAGGTAACAGCAATGAAGATGACTGCTGGAATGGAGAAGGCAAGAGTAGGTGAGTGTCGGCCCAACAGAGTTACAGCCCTTCCCTTCAAGGTGCCTGGGAGCCCTTCAGGAAGGGATTTCTGATTGTCTCCTGAGGCATCCTGAAGAAAATCCCAGTAGATAGTAACAACACGGAGAAGCCCTGGTGCCACAAAGGTCAAACATTCAACTGTTCAACACACAGTGGCTCCACAGGCAAGAACTTCCAGCTGAGAAGTTGTGTTCTGTCACATGGACTAGTATGACTTGTAAATCAACTCAAAAGACTGAAGATGGGAAGCTTCTAGACCTTCTTGGGAATGGCCTTTGCCTTTAAAATATTATGAAGGCACCAGCTGCTTGCCAAGTGTGCTAGGGGCAGAATTCTGGGACAGTGTTATATAATGGGATTGGGGCTGTAGCCAAGGATCTAGCTAGTCCAGTGGTGTCATTATTTTGTATTTTTAAAATTTTAATACCGGTGGTCCTTGGTCTTTTGGCCTGGCCTTATAAAGCCTTTGTATTTGGCCGGTCCTATCTTCTTAGTTGTGGCGCTGGACTGCAAAGTTGATTTGAACTGCATGGTCAGCAGTTCAAGCTTACCAGCTGCTCCTCGGAAACCCTATACAGGGTCACTATGGGATGGAACCGACTTGATGGCACTTAACAACAACAACATTCCTCTCCCTACACAGTGACTTGCCTGCTCTTGACATCATTTTCCTTGGACTCACCTACATCTGCTAAGAGGCAGAAACTGGAGAAATAAGACATCTAGTTTACTAGAAAGGAGCTCTGGTAGCGTAGTGTTACGAATCCGGCTGCAAACCTTAAGGTCAGCAGTTTGAAACTACCAGCCGTTCTGCTGGAGAAAGATGAGACTTTCTGCTCCTGTAAAGATTTGCAGCCTCAGAAACTCTGTACAGGGTCGCTCTGAGTCGGTTCCGACTCCATGGCACATAACCACCACCACCAGTGTACTAGGAGTTGTTGATTTTCCAGTTAATTGTGCCCAGTGAAGTCTCTTCAGTAATCTCTGCCTATCCTCTCTAGAATTGTGCTTTATTGATTACCCTTCTGGTGTCATCCCTCCTGGCAGGTACCTGTTTGCAGTCACAGGCAATGGATTAGCCAACCAGGGCAATAACCCAGAGGTCCAGGTTGATACCAGCAAACCAGACATACTGATCCTTCGTCAAATCATGGCTCTAAGAGTGATGACCAGCAAGATGAAGAACGCGTACAATGGGAACGACGTGGACTTCATTGACATCAGTAAGTATCTGTGCTTTGAAATGACCCAGGGCTCTTCAGAAAACTCGTGCAAAAATTCTGTGATCTTTTCATTCCATTTTTTCATAAATTTGTTAAGGCCCCTCCTACAGATTATTCTAGTATGCCTTGTAACAAGCACAGGTGGAATGAAATCTTTCTTGCCTTTTTTTTTTTTAAACTAGGTGATGAAAATAGTGGAGAAGGAAGTGGCAGTGGCTGTGAGTATCAGCATTGCCCATCGGAATTTGAAAATACTGCAACTGACCATGCCGGGAAGACCGCCAATGAGAAAAAATCAGCTGACAATGCTGGTGCCTGTCCGGGGGTACAGCCCTACCTCCTCCCTGTCCTCTGTATCTTGTTTCTGGCCATGCAGAGAGAGTGGAGATAATTCTCAACCTTGGAGGGAAAGTGTTCATCATCAAAGAGTGAAAAGGCACCAATTCATCACTTTTATACCATGCTCGTGACTTTGCTTTTTAAAAGACTGGACAACAATGTACAGTTTTTACTATGTGGGCAAGAAAAAGGGATCTTTACATTAAGTTGGTCTCTGCCCCTCTCCCCCCAGAATCATGTTAAACGTGGCTGACACTGTAGGTACAGAACTGTAGTTAGTTGTGCATTTGTGATTTTATCACTCTCTTGTTTGTTTGTTGTTGGTTCCCCCCCATCCCCGCTTTCTTTTTATTTGTGGGGTTTGTTTTGTTTTTTGTTGTTTTTTTTCCCCCCAGTTATGAACTCACTTTGTTTCTTAACAAGAAAACCAGGGTCCTTTCTTGGCATGTAACATGTACGTATTTCTGAAATATTAAATAGCTGTACAGAAGCAGGTTTTATTTATCATGTTATCTTATTAAAAGAAAAAGCCCAACAAGCAGTAAAATTTCCATTTTCCCCTGTTCTTTTAGTTGCTTTATCTGGAGAGAAGTGGACTGATTTTTTAAAATTTTATTTTAATTAGAGAAAACCGTGAAGGGCACGTGTAGCCACTCGCCCGATTGGATCCAAGCATGAATCCAAAACGAAGGTTATGTTTCATTTGAAGTTGGCTATGAGACTACTCTTTGGTTGAGTTGATTTCCATAAGCTAACATTACATCGATGTCCGATTCTTGATAACATTCTCTCTTGGAAGATCTAAGGCATTCAGGATTGAGGGTGTCCCAGTTATTCACAGGTTCACACTTATTTTAGGGGGGAGTGGTTTTCTTTTTTTCACCAACAATAAGTGACTAACAATCTCATTTGTTCCCATTCAAACACAGCCACGTATAGGCTGGAGCTGTCAGGGGGGTGGAGCGGGGGAGGCATGCCAGAATTGGAATACATCAGAGTTTAGGGAGATTTCTATCTACACTCATGAGCAAAGTTCTTATCCTGGCACGGATACTTGCTTTTGCTTTTGGATCCCACTTTTTGTTTTTAAGAGATTGTACAGTGTCTTAGTTGAGTCTTTTCATTGTCCCGTCCCTGGCTAAGGGCTGGCTGTGGGGGAGGGGCGGGATGGGGGTAGGTAGAGCTGAGAAGGAGACATCTTAGTGGTGACCCTTAGCCACAAGGGGGAACTGGCAAAGGCCATATCTGTTGTGCCAGGCAAAGATGAACAGCTGACTTGGCCCCATAGGAATCCTTTCCTTGTGTCCTTACCGAATGACAGCTCATCAAACTATGAGAATGTATCGAATCACATTAAAAGGAGTTACCAAAAGTCCTCTGAAGGTTTAAATTCTGTGAGTCTCTTCCTGCTTGAGATAACTATTACAATCCCCACCAATTCTACGGAAGCGAATACCCACCAAGAGGTTGGTTTTTGTTCTTTTTCAATCTTCAGTTGTGAGAGTAATACTCTATTTTTATATTGAAACATAATTACTTGCTAGCTCAGGGTCTACATTTCATTCACCTTTTTACACCAAATTCTGCAGAATGGTCAAAATGGAATATTGGGGACTGTTGTAAACAGAGGCTTAATTATATTAGAAGTAGCCAGTTATTTATTAAAGCATGATGTTAATAAAATAGGCATATTCTGACTGATGTGTATGAGTGGTCTTTTTTATAAAAACAAAAACAAAAATCCCCAGCAAACATAAAATTGCAAAGGAGCTCCATTGATTATATATGAGGAGAAATGGATTGTAAATAGCTAAGCTGCCTTGTGAGAACTTGGAAAATGTGTTGATACTAACTACCTCAGCTGTGAGGAATTTCCTTTTGAGCTTTGACCGCTATTACTTTCACTTGGTAGAAATGAATCTGGTCTCCAAAATGTAGCTCAAACAGTTACCCCCATAGACCTTGTTAGATTGTTTTTCATTTAAAATCTTGAACTCTGCCCAGCTGTTTTCTTCCAGTCAAGTCCTCTACACCAATAACTTTTTCCGAATTAAATATTGTTGATGGTTCTTCTGGACTCTCACTGATTTGATTTATTTATTTGCGTTTTTTTTTTTTCCTGTTGCCCTTCTATTATTTAAATCGTCTCTTGCTTTTGAACTTGAAGTATGAAATAAACAAATCATAGATTTTTCCATTCAGGTCTGACTGGATAAACTCTTGGCTTCTAACCAGTTGGCAGACCCCACCCCCCAGAAACAGAATAAAGACAAGTTGAATGTTATAAAACCTTAGGAGTTCAGAGTATGAGGTGGAAGAAAAGCTTTGTTTTGGAAAGACAAGAGTTTTTCAAAGTCTCAGTAGCATAGGAAGGGTTGATGTTTTATGAAGTCGTTTGTAAACTGTATTTCTTTCAAGCACTTCACCTGATCTGTACCTTAAGAAAAACATTTTAGGATCCTTAGATTTTGACTTCATTTCAAAACAGTAATTAACACCTATTTGGATTTTTTAAAGTGCAAAGAAATGAACTTGTATTTTTAAATGTTACTCACTGTGGGTTAAAAACCTAATGGTTGGCATGTTGTTTGTGATCACAGAACCAAAGTAAAATAAGGTAGATGATAGTGCTACATGGAGTCTTCTTTCTGTCTGTGTGGGCATAGGTTAAGCCACAGAATGTGGCTATTTGGATAATTGAAGGATGCATTAACAGTATCTATTGGGGGAAGGGTGTGTGTGTCTGTGTGAGAATGGGAGAGAGAGATCTCACTGTCATGCAAATGCCAACTAGACCTTAGAACTTTCCAGCCTTTTTAAAATAAAAATACTCTCAAAACATTATTCTAGTTTACAACTTGATGGGAAAAAATACAACTATACATTTATTCTACAATGTCCTTTACCAATTCAGTTTCTACTTTTAAACCCTTGATGTTTCTCTTCTAAAAATCCATTTTATGCATGTTAAAAATATCTGAAATATATTCCTGTGGCCACACAGGAATTCAAGTCCATCAAGTGAAGCAAATGTCATGTACTATTTGTTTCATTTTGGTTTTTAACTAATATACTGGCAGGGTTTAAAAACCAAAACATCTGGGGGGGGGGCGTTTTGAAAAGTTTGTGGAAAAATGGAATGAAAGATAATGGAATTCTTTCACAAAGTTTTTGAAACCCCCTCATTTCAAGATATGCAATGAGGTTTTCTTCTATTTCTGGTCCCTACTTTCCCAGTTACCCCCCACAGCCCAAGGTAAATTTTTAATAGTTACTTAGATATGTCATCTTCCAAAATTTTCTTATGCATATACAAGCACACACAAAAAAAGGTTTTTCTTTGTTGTCTTTAAAAAAAACACAATAGTCTATGCTCTGTAATACCATGTTTTTCTAGGATAATTTAATAAGTATTGAGAGCAGGGAGGCCCTAAAGATATAGATATACTTTAGGGTTCCTGTTCTAAAATCACAGCATCTCAGCTGTATTGCATTTTGGTTTTCACTGCACTTGGACCAAGATTAGTCTTTCAGGGGCAAAATCAGCTAAACACTTAACCACTAATGAAAGAGTTTGTGGTTCAAACCCATTTACAGGTGCCTGGCAATTTGCTTCTGAACTTAGAATAAAGGCCTGGTGATCTAATTCACCAGATAATAGCCTCAAAAATCCTGTGGGGCTGTGTTGTGAATATAAGGGGTTGCCATAAATTGGAATTGACTAGATGAAAAGCAATAACAATCTAGGTGGTGGTGTTAGGTGCCATCCAGTCTGATAGCAATCCTTTGTACAACAGAACACAACACTGCCCAGTCCTGGGCCAACCTCACAATTGTGGCCATGCTGGAGCCCATCAATGCTGCCATTTTACCAATCCATCTTGCTGGGGGTCTTCTTCCTTTTCTCTGACCCTCCACCTTACCAAACATGATATCCTTCTCCAGCGACTGGTCCCTCCTGACAATGTGTCCGAAGTATGAGAGACAAAGTTTGGCCATCTTGGCCTCCAAGGAACACTCTGGCTGCACTTCTTCCAACACACATCTGTTGGTTCTTCTGGCAGCCCATGACACTTTCAATATTCTCCTCCAACACCGTACCTCAGGTGCATCACTTCTACGGTCTAGGTGTTGAGCAATAATAATTTTTTAAGAAGGAGCAGTTTGACATTCTAAGGCTATAATGCCACAGGTGGCACAAACAATAACTATCCCTGCCCACTGATAAGAAAGTTGGAGGCTTTTTATTCACTCAGAGGCACCTGGGAAGGAAAGCTTGTTGATCTACTAATGCATACTCAGTCATTGCAAACACAGTTCTACTCTGAACGCACATTTGGGTTGTCACGAGTCAGCATCAACTGGCTGGCATATGGTTTGTGGGCACAATGTGAGTTAAGGTTCATTTGGGGCGGTGATCATAAGTGCCATCACGTAGGTTCCGGCTCATAAGGATCCTATGTAAGGTTTCTGAGGAGTGTCTGGTGGTTTTGAACCACTGACCTTGCCATTAGCAATCTCGTGCTTATCCTGCAGTACCTCCTCATTTGGGATAGTTTTTAAAATATGTCATTGCCAGTGAAAAAGAGGCCAATGCAATTGGGAAAATCCTCATTAGAATATGTAAGCATTTTTCCAAGTTCAGTTTTCATGTATTGTGGCAATCTTCACAGATCCGTGTTTGAAGAAACTTCTAAATTTTACATTAACCCATGCATTCTACAGAAATCCACTTCTTGGCATGAATGAAATTAATGCACGTTTTACTCTACTTTTGGTGTTTCTTTAAGAAATGCTGGGGTCTTGGTGTGGTGCTGTAGGATCAGCACTGGACTATTAACCACAGTGTTAGCAGTTCAAAGCCACCAGCTGCACCTTGGAGACCCTACTTTACAGGGTCTGAGTCGAGTCCAGGTGTGGTACTGTAGGATGAGCACTTGACCACAAGGTTCATTTGAACTGCAAGGTCAGTTGCTCCTTGGAAACCCTATACAGGGTAGCTATGAGTTGGAACCGACTCAAAGGCACTTAACAACAAATGAGTCGGAACTGACTTGACAGCACTTAACAACAGACAACAAAGAAATGTTCTTTCGAGTCCGTTCCGACTCACAGTGACCCGTAAAGGGTTTCCAAGGAGCACCTGCCGAGCTTGAACAGTCCAGCGCATTAACCCACAGCGC